TTACACTGAGAAAAATCAGGTTGTTATACCAAGCATTATATGACTGTTAAGAAGAAATACTTCAATCAAACGACAAAGAGTTCACGCAATAAATAATCCGATGTTTAATCAATAACTTTTATTACTTGAGGAGAGTTCCTTGATTCAATGTTAAAAACTTGTTCAATTAGAGGTAAATGAAAAATGGTTATTAAATTAATCTTTTGTCCTGTTTAAAAAAACTCTGTTTAATACTAAACATAACAGTCTTAAAAGAGTTACATAGATATTTTGTGCATATTTAAACAATGTTTTATTTTGTTGACATTACGCATTTAGGTACTTCATTGAATACTGCACAACTAGTGACCCAAGAAATTTTAAGTTTACCATACTAATCTACGACTTTTCTCTGAATATACTTTATCATTAAATTAAGAATGTGGTATTTATTTCAACGGTTTTTGCATATCAAATGAAACGCAAAGCATATTGACGATGCGGTTTTGGATTTCTGCTGAATACCGTCATTTAAGTAGTGCGTCTCCATTGAATTGGAACGGTTCATTACCATTTATCTCTCAGTGCAGTGCGTGTGCTGTAAGGGTGTCTACATATTTTTGTTCAGTTTGAAATGGAAGAATTTTTTGGGCATATTGAATCAATTAAATTCAAAGGATCTGAGAATAAAGTTTATTTTGTCTTAAAGAAAGTGGACACCGTTAGGTATGATGAACATTACAATGCATTTGAAGTAAAGAAATGTAAAAGTTTATTTTGTAAAGAATTAAATAGTTTGAGCAGTGAATTTCCCACTTTAATATATGCATTACAGCATAAAGATTATGTAATTATTTAGTTTAGTTAAATTCTACATACCATGTGAATTTTATTTTTTTTTTAATAAAACGATTGACAAGAAACTAATGAGTTTCATTACAGACTCAGTATATTAAAAATTTGGGTATGGATATACCCCAAAAAATTGATGTAAATGTAAAAGTTGTTTGCAGGTATATATCCCGACGTCATTTCAGTGAAACTGCTGCTATAGTTGCCTTCTTTGTCACAAAGGATGCAAATCAACGTTTTCTGAGATATTTTGATTTTCAGAATTTGGTCCGAAACTTAAGCAGTCCGCGGGACCTCGATCTGTTTGCAACTTAATTACCACTCTTCTGAAACTCTCAGTGCGGTTTCATTTTAATTAGTCTACCAAGTTTTTTTTTTTGAAAATTTTTGTAAACGCGGTGTTTGTTACCACGCACTCACAAAAGAGTTGATTGGACCAAGAATATAGCCCACAGACAATGCATTATCTGACTAAACATATACTTATTTAACAATTTTCAAAATGCTGACAATTGGTAGTAAAAGTGTATTAGCGGCCATTGGCATTTTTAAAACCAACTGTTTTTTTTCAAATCTAAATGTCTTTAAAATCAGATGGTTCATTGTCCGACTAATTTTGTGCGCCATATTCTTGGTCCAATACTCCTAACTCTTTTGTAAACGCGTAGTATCAAACGCCGCATTTGCAAGAATTTTCGTGCATAAAAAAAACTTGGTAGAGTAGTAAAAATGAAGCTGCACAGAAAGTTTTAGAAGAATGGTAATCAAGTTGCAAAAAGGTCGAAGTCTCGTGAACTAAATTCAATCCACTAAACTATTGCTGTAACAAATTTTTGGATGTAGAATCAACAGTGCTAGTAAGTATGTGCAACATGCACAATATTTCCCTGAACACTGTATAAATGTACTTACAAATAACAAGAAATGTTGAATCAATAAGATAATTTCATTACATCAAATCATTTAAACGTAATTTTTCAAGAAACAAAGTACTTATCATAACATTTCAAGATTGTTCAATTGACATCTTAAAAATCTGTTCCCAATCTCGTAGACTGTTAGATGAGTCACCGCAACTCGATTCTTCCAATGTACAAGATTCTTGGTTGTTAACTCCTTAATCACCCTTAAAGCAATGTTTTAGATTTATTGAAATAACTTACCAGAGTTAGCATTTAAATGTTGTTGATTGAACACGCTCAGTGCATTGCTCATATATAACTCTCACAAAATGTTGTTTTAATTATTTATACGTTCCTGTAACCTTTTTTTTCGCTCAGTGTAGTGTAAACCTCAGAGGTGTAACCAGTACTTACTACAGTCGCTGTAAATCGGATAAATGGTTGGCGCCATCTATTAGTTATGATTGTTATTATTAGTTTGCTCCAATATGGCCGATTTATGATAAGTTGTCGCCACTGTCCCTATAAAGTCACTGTAACCAAACCCTATGGCCTATGCTATGGTAACAAAAATAATTTGGAAACTGTCATTGCTAGTGTCATAATTTTGGTGGTGAGTGACAAAGGCGTATTTGATATTGATAAAAAGCAACCAAAGTAGGTAAAGAATTGATACCACCGAAATCCAAAAAAACTATATGAGCAGCAGTACGATGCGTTTAAGAAGTAGTGCCGCATACAAAATGTGGAACAACCTACTGAAATTGCCTTGATAGTAATTTCATCCTTCCGGGATTTTCGGCCAAATTTAATCCCGGCGGGACAAAAAGTGACACTTCACTACTTGTCATAGTGGAGTGAAGTTGTCACTTTAGTCTCGGAAGTACGAAAAAAACATTTTATTAGTGAGCTAGTCGTGCGTAAATTAAAAATTAATTGTCGAATTATAATTTTTGCCAGTGCCGTAGAGTATCAATTTTATTTTATGCAAGTAAGGTCTTCGATCCTTGTAAATTTAACTAAGCCGTTACAAGACAGACGAACATCTTTGACCTGGTCCATAATGCAATATTCCTGATTTCATTTTCATACGTATTCGTCTATATCTACCGGGTATGGAAAGGTTCCTTCATTTTGTACCAGCTATCAAAAATCAAATAGATCCTACCTACCATAGGGAAAGTTGTAGAAAAGTTTCATTAAAAAGTTTTTTTATGGCAATAAAAGTCCACAGGAAACCTAACTGGCAGTTGCAACAATAAAACCTTGTGCGAGAATTATGCACGACTGAGCGTTTATTGACCATAAAATCACTTCACCCAAACATTCTCTTAATTATAGACAAGTCGTAAAACTATAAGTAACACCTTCCATGTACGAAAGGCAGCTTTTGAACGGTTGAATTATTTAATTTTAACTGTTACGAAGATGGCTATTGTTGATTAAAACTAGAGGTGCAGTAGCGTCCATTAAATTGCTTGCCGTTCACAAGTGGCCAGTCGATTAGAATCTACGAGAACCAAACTGAGAACAAGTTTTATGTGACGATGTACCTTGTTTTTGGAACTAAAGGAAGAGTTTGACTGCATAACTTCAAATTGTGGTACCAGTTACATTATTTAAAGAATTAAAATGTATGGTGATAGTGTCGTGAAATAACGCTTCATCTCCCTAAAAATCAAATAAACACGTAATAATACAGAGAGAATAAATAAGTCGGTATGTAATCCGCCTACCACATAATATATGGAAATTAAGAGATACCATTAAAGCATATTATATGTGGCCATTTTCAGAATCGGCACATAAATTCTTATTTTATCTTTTGACTAGTATTTTTAATGTAACGTAGGAAGGTCTTTACACGTTTTTTACGATAAGTACGCTCTGCTAAGCTTCCATTCGTGACTCGAACCTTCACAACTGGCTCGAAATGTTAAATTTAATTAGGTACACGTTTAATTAACGGCCAGTACGTATTTAAGGTTACCAATGTCTTCTATTTCCAACTCATGAGAGTAGATGAACTAAATGTATAGCACAATATCAAACTAAACCATGACGGGGACCGTGACATGATGGTTTTCTGCCCACCAGAATTACGATCGATGAAAGAGGATTACTGTCACTGCCATAACTAATAAGATAAAATAACTTTAAATATACATAATACATGCCATCTGTATATGGATCGATTTATTTGCGTAAGAAGAAAATGTTGATATTAACTTCCTTTTTTTTAATAATGACACATTCACGGTGGGGTAATTTGGTGATTAATATTTGAAATTTTGGTGATATCTACAAAACGATCAACTCGAAAGTTATATTATTTACACAGACGAATAGTATTTTGCAAGAGCAGTTCTCCCATGGCGGTTTTGTGATTAATGTTAACTGTATAACGATATCCAACTGTCTACTCATCATTTTTAAAAGTCAATCTCAGGTATCGTTGGTTGCATAGTTAAATTATCTATTCCAGACAGAGTGTGACCGAGCATCTCACTGTTGTGAGGGAGTGCCTACTGCACTTGTATAAGGATTTTAGTAAAAGTTTTGTTCATTTACTTTACTTTCTCTTTCCTTATACACGCAAATTGTGTTGCCGGTCGTATTGGCAGTTGGCACCACAGTAGTTCTGTAGTTGCTGACATACGGATCATCGGCGATGCGCTCTCCAGGCTTCCATCCAAACTTCAGGTCACATGGAAGCCTTATTTTTTTCCAAAACTTGCAGTCTGTCCGGCAGTTTCATGCACCGAAGAGCGATAAGGCATACGGAATAATGGCAGATTTGATTCCAGTCTCGTTGGTGGTCACAACTTTGGAGAAATGTCTATTAAAAGTTGTGTTCATTCTTTCCACCATTCCATCGGATTGTGGGTGCAATCGAGTTGTACTGCAGACATGCTGGAATAATAGAGATTCGACATTTCTGCCTTGGCCCAAATGAATTTCATGCGGAGCTCCAAATCGGCAAATCCATTCCCTCACCAAAACGTCTGCGGCGGTAACCGCTTTTTGGTTTGGCAAAGCGACAAGCGTAGACCTCCACTAGTTGCT